CTCTTGCTATTTTCACAAAATATATAAAAAAGTCTATGTCACTATGTCTATGTGTGAACAATAAATGATCAATCGTACTATGTATGTTTCCGAGAACCGCTGTAATGCCGCATCGGGAAACAACCGCTGGATGTAACCTCGCAAATGTCATACGTAAATGTCATAAAAAATGAAATATATTCCTGTTTGCATAACTATAAAAACTACAAAAAGCGGCAGTAAATTAAACACACTTCCTGAAGTTTGATTCTAATTTCAAAAAAATGGTTGAATTTATAAGCTTCCAGACAAATATGTTTTCTAGGAATCACTATTTTGATTTAAAATCAGATGTGCCCAAAATAAATACAAATTTAATACAATTTTGTAACATGGGATGCTTTGAAATTGAAAATTGACTTCCTAAAAAGCCTAGATATTTTGTCAAAATGTTCATACATGATATAAAAACAAGGTATGATCGTAACTTTTTGACTTTTTACCAGTCGACAAACAGTCGAATGCTTTTAGTTCGACTAGTCATAACTAAAGTCTACTAAGTCATACCGCAATTCAGGAATACCAAATATTTATTTTCGTGGGATAAATTTTTATCGCATGCGACAAAGTTTATCACAATTTCAAGAATAGGTGTTTGTGTATCATTCATTCTATTCGACGGCCGTTTCGGCATGGTCGAAAACTTGCCACCCGGAACACTGTTCGGCTACTTGACCGGTATGTACAATTATAACTATTAAACAGAATATTATAACCATGATTAACTAGCTTAGTTAATCATGATTATAACCGCAGGTCCATAACGTGTAAATACTATGCATATTTTATTTATTAACATAAATTATGTTTTAGTTCACAATAATATTATGGGTAATATAAATAATAATCTTAATTTGTATTATAAGTATACATAATTATAATACATACTTTTAAGTAAAAGTAGTACCCATAGGCGCACATTGGGTGTGAATTTAGGGGGTGTTGGAATAATTTATGGTTCACAGATCCGTGGGGGCTTTTCCCCCCACACCCCCCTAAATCCTAATATTTCTGCATTGCATTAGATTTAATTTTGTATAGTGTATACAATAATATCTAAAGTGAAATGTATCAAATAGTCTGTATGATTGTAAAGAAGACGTTAGGTACATCCACATGTGTTGTCTCCGTTTTTTTGGAAAACTTATTTTGCGTAAAAATACCCGTTTTTCCTTAATTTTTCTTTTGTTTTTCCTGACGCTTTTGAAAATTACTGGGACATTTTTACTTTTGACCCCCCAAAGTACCAACTAGATTCATTTTCCTATCAGAAAAGTTACTATTGAAGAAATCCAAGGACTTTTACTGTCCTAAAAGGTGATGACAAAAATAAAAAAAAAACACATCATTGTAAAATCAATGCGTTCATCGTTAAACTCTGAATCTAAAAATAATTAACTTTTAATTTTGAAACTATAAGAACATTTTTCGTATTTGTGATATCGAAAAATTAAATCAATGTTGCACAGTCAATGTTCTCCTCTTTCTAGTAGGAACATTAGGTTGCATAACTTCAGCTATAGAGTGAGTGGTTCTTATCCGAGCAAAACCGTTTTTCTATGTTTTACATTTGTAAAACGGAGACCACACAATGCGGGTGTAACATCCTCTTAATAATATTTGTCATTCCGAATTTATTCAATTCAGCGTGGCCCACAGAATAAATAAATATATTAGTAATAACAAAACTTATAAATAGAACATTTCGTAGCCAACCGTAAGATAATATAATTTTCTATAATGATATGATATAATATGATTGCTGCATACTGTTTAATGTTTTGACAAAAACTGAAACACCGAAACATGTATTCACACAATACTGTTCTAATCGTGAATTCGTAAACAGTTGTCAATATTTGTAATGAAAAGAAAAATTCCGAACCAATAAACCACGATAGTTTATAAATGATTGGTGAAATACCGAAATAAACTGAGGGTGCTAGTTTGAAGCTTGGGGGTGCTAAGCACCCCCAAGCACCCCCCTATGTGCGCCTATGGTAGTACCTATGTAATACTTGAATATTTTGATTATAGAACCGATCTCGTGCGCGTTCGTCCACCGTTTGGCTTTAGATACTGTTTATTTTTTGACTGTATAATATTATCTGCCGTGTGGCTCACGATATTATGTTTTATCGAAAATCCATTTACTCACGGCCATTTACCCTTTCGCCGTCATTGGTGGTAAGTGCAGAAAACACAGTGGGTATTGACGACGTATATCGCTATTGCTACTTTTTTTTTAAATAAGCGCGCTGCTTCTAACGCTATTTGTCGAAATGCACCGCGCTACTTTTTCGCTACATTTTTAAAACTACTCTGGTGTTGGTAGTTTGCACTGATTTGAAATTTGATCACTGGACCGGACAACAACTTAATCATAATTGATATTTTAATAATCACCAATTTTGGATTGTAGGTATATTTCAAACGATCATAAAAATTTAGTTTGACTTTCTTAAGGCCTTTTTTTTTTGATAAAAGTAGACAAACTTATAAGGAATCACGTATTACATTTTCATATGTTAGATTTAAAAAGAAAAATTTTTATGAATTCTTAACTCAAAGTAATTTGATAATATTCGTAATTTTTTCATATTTTGTCAAGATTTGAACTTTAAATGTTTATAAAAAAAACTGTGACTAAAGATTTTTAATATTTTTCAAATGTCAATGTAATGATATAGTAGGAGCCTTATATTAAGTTTTTTAAATAACACTTTTATTGATAATCATGGAAAAAAAATAAAAAAATAAAATATAAAATTGTCCGTAAACAGCTCAAAATAAGTCAAAATATTTTGAAAATGTTATCGTGTAGGTATAGAAAATGCAAATATAAACAACCAGTGGAAATTTCATGTATCTACATGATTATTTGTTTTAAAGTTACACCAAGAGCCAAAAGCGATTTTGTCAAAAACTGATTTTGCGTAAAAATTCTCGTTTTTCCTTAATTTTTATTTTGTTTTTCTTGGCTCTTTTGAAAATTACCGGGAATTTTAAAAATTTGATCTCCCCAATCCACCAAAAATATTCACTTTTATAGCAAAGAGATGCTTCGATATACCACTTCGACTTTCGAGGGGGGTTTCTGGTAAAACCATCAGTTATTTCCAAATAATTGGGAAAAACAATAACAAAACATTTTGACAAAATCAAAATTCATAACTGTTTATTTGTATTTTTATTCAAAAATAAATAACTGTAGAGACTTCATATATTTTCCAAGGATTCATATTAAGCATTTACTATACATGTTATAACTATATGATAAAAATGTTGTTTTGGGTGTAAAAAGCTTGACAATTTATTACAAGGTTTCTCGTAAGATATTCATACAAAATTTGAAAATATCGAAAATACGTAGTCACGAATAATTAAATGCAAATTGTAGAAAATAATTAAGTACACACGTTATGACAGTAAAACTCGTAGTGAACGATATCGTTGAATTTATTACTCCAACGGATTAAACTACCATTAGGTCTTAGATCACAACAACACTGTTCGACTGTTCCATAGACATGGTATGTCTATGGACTGTTCTATATAAAATAAAATAGTTTAGTTACTGTCTACGTAGTACTTACTATGGATTATGCAGTACAATAAGTACAAATCATAAACCCATTACAATTTAAAATTACGACTTAGTTTATAAATAAAAATAATAATACTAATTAGTAATTAAAATTAAAATTAATTTATAAACTCGCTGTGGTCGTTTTAATCCCCCGTCAATTAGATCCTATTGCGTCAGTTAGTCACCGAGATCTAGCTGTCGAGGGATCTATGTGACCGTTCACCCTTTAATCGTGCTTATGGTTATTCTGTGATATAAGTATATAACCATATAACCATAAGCACGATTAAAGATATACAGGTTGCACATCATAGAGTATATTACTATATGTTGCACATCGACTACTGATAAGGTGAAATACGAAATGACACATATGGTTGAGTGTTGACATTAAGCGCCACTAGTTAATTATTAACAGCTGATTTTTATAGTCACTTTGTAAATCAGTCTGGAAGCGGTTTACTATAGGGCGATGTGCAACCTGTATATCTTTAATCGTGACCATAAGTAAATACAACTGTGATAATATTATCTATCTACGTGATAAAGAAATAATAGTGGCCCACGGACTAAGATATATCTAGTCCGTCATCTTTATATCTTAGGGCCAGTATTACCATCTCCAGTTAAATTTAACGGACTCCTAACCAGTGGAATTCGGCCGGTAATAAAATCTGTTATCAGTTGGTTAAGCGTAATCGAAGTGTAATCAATGATTGTAATCACGGACTAAGATATACAGGACTGGACACGACAAGGTTGGAGGGTGTGGGGGGTTGACTACGAAATGTTTTACAACAGGCAGTGTTCGGGGGGATATTTTCCTTTTAGCATTACTAGCGCCGTCCTAGTGGATACTTATGGAACTAGAACACATCATACAAATTTCTAGTTCCATAAGTATCCACTAAGACGGCGCTAGTAATGCTAAAAGGAAAATATCCCCCCGAACTCCGCCTGTTGTAAAACATTTCGTAACCACAATATTCATCTCGTGTCCAGTCCTGTATATCTTAGTCCGTGATTGTAATACTGGCCCTTAGTCCGTGTAGTGGCCCAACGATCGAAAGGAACCGGTAGTTGGAAATGTCGCATTATTATTTATGGTTATTTGTTACATTTCTGAGCCTTTAAATGACCACCAGCCAAATTGTGATTTGTAATGACAACTGACTAGAACAAATAACGGTACCTTGGTAGGTAATTGGTTTGTAGGTAGGTATTTAAACTTCAAATTCGAAATTCCAACCTTCGGCTTGAATTCTTGAAACTATTATTAATATGTTTTTTTTATAGGTACTTACATCTCCAGGTCTACAAGATTGTTAATTGCACAGAACATACGACGACATATTAATATAACTGTGTTATTATGGATTCCGATAATGATTCAACACAGGATTGTGAAGAAATTGTTGAGGAAACTTTAATTCATGTTGTTGTGGATAATGCTGATGAAATGTCTATTTTGAACTCAAACAGCAATGTACGAGTGATAGCTGTGGACTCTGATTCTCCAGCATTACAAATTGAAAACAAGGTACCTACCTAGTTTTTTAACTAATTTTTTAAAGTTTAGTAGTAAGTTTTTGTATCAAATTGATTGCGATTTGGGATTAATATTGATTGACTAGCGGTGTACGAAATGTAAATTAACTTGGGGTACATTCTTGATTTACAAGTTTTAAGCGCTAGGCATATAACTGGATTTCTTTGGATGATCATTGTGTAAACACTATAAAGACTTACCAATTTAAATATTTTTAACTATGTAGGTATGAAAAATAAATAAACTCATACCTAGAAAGCTAGGGTGGCGGGTGAGCGATTCTCGCCTGAGCCTGGCAAACATTTGGCCGATAACATAAAAATATTTTATTATTAATCCAAATTGGGCCCAATTTTCTTTTTCCCCGTGGCCAATTTTTATTCCCAGTTTGCCCCTGAAGTGTAGGTACCTCTCATATTATTTACGTGCCAGATCTATGATGACATCCATAGCAAATAGGTAAAGGTGAAGTTTTCAGTTTACTCGAATCATAGGCGTGTGTAGACCTCTGAGTCAGGTATGGCTAAATTCAATGTGATCACCTACCCCCTTGTCATGGCCACTCAAGAAAAAAATTACAGACATTTTCACACTTCACTTCAAACTTATTATAAAATATTCTACTTTGGAATATGAAATTAAAACTCTGTTGCCAAAAAAAAAAATTTATAAAAATTAAAAAATTAAAAGGATAAAAAATATTTAAAAAAATATTTTTTTAATAACAAAGTTGTTTTGTAAATGACTTGAAACTATGTAAAAAAATACACTTTTTGAAATAATGAGTGTTCAATTTTAAATAAATCGCCCTGTATAGTAGTCTCTTAGGTAAACACAAACGTTTAAAATCTAGAAGGGCTATACCTACTTTTAGTCATGTCTTCGTAAGGTACCAACCCGCCCATGTATAAAAAAATCTCAGGTAGGGCTAAAGCCCAATCCGCCCTACCCGTGCGCACGCCTATGACTCAACTCGTCAATGGTAAAATTAAAAGATTTACTATAAATCAGTTGATCAATATTAATTTATGTACCTAAATGAGTGCAATGGGTGAGTTATGTACCTGTAAGTGTATTAATTATAAAATTAATAAGTAAGTACCTACCTACCTTCAAACATTTAAATTTATTTTCCAAACATAATTTTTTTTCATATTACATACCTATATTTGAATTTTTTTTATAAATAACATGCTGAATAGTTATTGTGAAGGGGAAATTACTTGTTATAACAGGCAATGTAGACTTTTTATTATTTGTGTGAACAAACCAGTCTGTTGACAATTGACATTCACCAATGTGTTAATGTGATGAAAATTGTTTATCACAGCAGGATGTTAATTTTTAAATCCAATGAAGTCGGCAAAAAGACAGGCTATGAAGGATAATATGTTTATATTGCCAAGTTCCATATTTAGTTCCACAAAAATAAATACAACTGGTTGCCCTGGAATAGGTACTTAGAACTTAATTTTTGTAAACCCTTCCATAAAAACACAAGACTGAACATGCTTAAATATTATATTTTGATATATTTTTGTTAATTTTTTCTTGTTTTTTTTTTAGTTTTCCTCATTATTTTTTCCTTGACATATTATTTTCCATGATTGGAAATAATGATAGTAGGTAGTAGGTACTAATAATTAAGTAATACTAGGGGCGTATTTACGGGGTTAAGATCCACCCCCATGGATTTTGAATACATCTACTATTATATAATTACTGTAGCGCACACCAAAGCTCTGTAAGCTAAAATTCTTGCCAACTCTTAAAAAAAATGTTAAATACACCATTGAGTAATACCCGAGGATTTTGCTAACAATATTGTATTTATATTTGATCGGGAATAAGTAGGTTAGGCCTACAGACTATAAACATCCAATTATATATTTTAAACATGATTAAATCATATAAATTTACTAAGGATAAATAAAAAAAATTATAGGTATATAATTTTTCTATAGAGTAGGGTCATTGGACCCCCCTTCTATCATACCATCCCGTCTTGTATATATGTACCTATTGTATAAATTATTACAGTTTTCTAATAAAAAAAAAATATATAATTTGTTATGTATAATATTCAATATTGTTAATTTCTATTTTTAGATTTTTCATTTTAACGAATGGAGATATATACCTGGGACAGCTATGTTTTTTGAGCGGAAGAATGAAGTAAAAAAAATTGATCCTCTGTATGATAATAGATGTGGAACTGTTATGCAATATGTTGGCTCTACTCGCAAATGTTTAGAAATGACAAAAAAGGAAAATACACTTTAATCTTATTATTTTACCATAGTTTAGAGCACTGAATTTGATATTTTTAATTTTTACATCTGTAATATAATTTAAATAATTTTGTACATAATATAGGCATTTTTTTTAAATGTATTTATATTTTACATTTTACGCTTATTCATTGCAAACACCATATTTGTTGTTTTATTTTTTAATAAGACTTACTGTGTTTCTTAAACTAAGTATAATATAGTTGTATAATGTTTTTACATTAACATGTAACCTCCCCCCCCTATTGGCGCCCATGCTTGTTTTAGATAAGTTTCTTTACAAATTACTGTCCAATGGGTGTACACATTTTTTTTTTATTGAGCAATTTTATTAAAAATGTTGGCGACAAATATGAATAAAATTAATAGGTAGTGAAACATTTGTATCTATTAAATTATTTTTACGCTAATAGTTAATAAATAAATTATATTACAATAATAAAGATAAATACCTATAACATTATATAATAATTATAATAATAAGTAGTAATAGTAATAATATAATAATAATAATAATATAATAATAATAATAATAATTAATAAATTATAATAATATAAAATAAATTTATGTTTGAAACATTGATTTACCGTTCAGTCAATTTTTTAATTAAAAATACTAGGTGGGTAACTAAAAATAATCACTTGTACAAATTTGTCAAAATATAGGTTGGAAGTGGAGAATAGTTAAAATATAATATACCTAATTGGAGAAATCGGTAGTATTTTAATGACCAAAAATACAAATCTATGTAAGTAATTATCATTTTTACTGATGCAATTGAATTATTTTTATAAATCAGATTTCCTCTAAGATAGTACTATTATAGAAAATGTAGCCACTGAAAAATCCATAAGATTTGAACAAGTCTATAATAAAGACTGATTTTTGGATCACCCTGTGGATAGAATAAATAGTACAAGTTATCCAAATAAAAACCTAAGTACAAGTTACTATTAAAATTCTAAGTTTAAATGTGTTCAAATCGTAATACATAAGTACAATTATACATGACAGTAAAACGCTAAGTGCAGTAATCGTACTTGAAAATTGACAAGTTATTTCAAATTAGGAACAACCAATGAGACCCTATTTGAAAAAAAATAAATATATGTCGTTATTTTGTTGTCCCTTGGTACGGTTACATATTTAGATTTTCTTTATAAATTTATCTTACTTATTAAGTCATTCGAGAGTAAATACTAAATAGGTATCACTCATGAACAATTATTAACATCCTCACAATAAGTAATAATTATTATGTTCTAAGAAAACACAAATGAACAATGAACATAAACACTCAACAGTGTTATTCTCTAGTCTATGTACACATAGTAATAAATATTAATAATACAAAGTAAATGAATCAAAGTGAAAATTCATAACTAATACATTTATCTAACTCTTTTTAATTATTGAGAAAATATATTTATAATAAACTCTAAATCATACAAATAGATATTTTGTTAGAATATAATGACGTAGTATATGTGATAGTTAGAACAGTTGAAAATTAAAAATTGCCGTGATTTTTAACTTGCCATTGTAAACTTAAAAACTATTTTAGTTACAGTTGGTCTAACTATGTAAACATAACTATATAAAATATAGATAAAATTATATGTTTATTAGTCATAAACTAAAAACAATAAATATAATATAGACTTCAATATTGAAGTATTTAAAGTATTTTACGCTGTTTATGTTGTTGTAATGGTCCAAATATAAATGTAAGAATGATATCACAAGCTAGCTTCATATTTCTGCCCTGGAAAATATAAGTCAATAAACAATTATTATACATTTGGTAAGTAGACAATTAAAATGACTGCATTTTAATCAGGGGCGGTTCAAGGGATAGGGGGGGGGGAAGGTCATAATTTTCAGAAAATATCGTTGATTTTTTTTTATAATTTCGTTTTTTTTTGGGGCGGGGGGACTCCTAGTGATCCCCCGGAGCCTCCCCTGATTGTAATGTATTATATTTTAAAAACACGAGGTAGATAATATTATATTTATTTTATAACCTTCTTAGGTAGGTACCTATATTATATTATATGATATTGCTGTATATATTTATTTATTTATAAATGGGTAGGTACCCTTTAGACTTTAGTAGTAATAGTACAGTAGGTAAGTATAATCTCAATTTGACAAGCAAATAACAGTGAAATTAAATAATATTATATTGTTTTGAATGGGTAATGGGTTAATATTTTTAAAACTAATTGTATTCCTGCTTATGAATCCCAACATCTTAAATGATTTTTTAATTAAAGTATTAATAGGTATGTAATATACCTACCTACTACAATTATAAATTTTATAAATATAATAATAGGTACCTAAGTAATAACAATGTTCTCTCGATATTATTTATATTTAGGGAGACTAGGGAGTAGGGAAAGGTAATTTGAAGACTTCAAGTAACATATTTGCTAAATTTTACTGCAAAATTAAAGTATCAGTTGGATACTTTAAAATTTTAATAGTCAAACATATTTAATATTTATTTTTTATAATATAATTTTGATGTCTGATCGGAAACAGTTAAAACTAATCGTAGGTACCTACTACCTATACGAAATCGATCTGTTCATGAAGAGTTATCCATTTCATGAAATGGAATCAGGAACGGTAAATAATTACAGTGTGTCCACAGAAACACTTACATAGCAATATAATATATTATAAATATTTGACTGATTTTTAATATAAAAAATAAAAAAACCAAAAATGTTACACTCAGCAGCTCATGTTAGATTAAAATTAGAATGAGTTGACCCCTCTTGGACCCCTGGACACCACTGCAGTTAAGGCCTTGAAGGGGGGGGGGACAACAACAACACCCATCCGCTACATAGATGTTTAAAGATAAGTATACATATAGTACGCATAAAACGATAATAGACTAAATGTTAAACTATAAAATATCGATAGCAATAATTTTTGTACAATAAATATAATAGTTATTACCTAACACCTAATGGCTAATGCCAAGATAAAACTTACATTATTGGAATTGATTTGACAAACACTTGTTGAATCCGTTATATTATCATGAAACGTTTATCCAACGATCTATGCTATACTCTAGAGCAGCTATCCATCTAATATAAACCAAGAAAATATACGACCATTATTAATAATGCGTTTCAATTGGTAATCCAATAATTATCACGTGATTTTCGTCCGTACCTTCTTTTGTCTACCTCGGTGTCTGTATAAAAATAAAAATATCTAAATGACAAGTCGGGTGGTATAAGCTCGAACGCAAATTTCCTTACGCTAGCGTTAACGGAACTTTGCACTTTGTAACCGTGGAGACAAGCCATTCCTGTAAATTTGAGAAACACGATAACTTCCAACGATTCAAAAATATTATTAAACGGATACATAAATAAATTAATAATCGTTACCGTTGGCAAATCGGGTTACGCTGTCTACGAAAAAATACAGCCTAGCCCCTTTAAGAACGCAGTAGTATTTTTTCCACGATTTTCCACAGTGGTGTACCAACGTGGAGAGGAAACCCTGGCAGTCCGATTGCGGATCGATGGTGACCACAGATTTCAAGTTATCTTCGTCCAGCCATTCCATCGACTGCAAGAAGCGTGACATGGTAACATTATCGCGAATAGGGATAAATGGCCATTAGGACGTTGGGGCAATTTGGATTGTATATAGGCATTTGACATTTTAATTATGATATTTTTAAAATGTTTGAATAATTTAATAGTGATCTATTTTTGGCCGTACTTATTATAATAAATATGTAGCACTTATTTGTTACACTGTGTTTTAATCTTTGAGTTTTTTACTATGAAACCTATATATTATGTATTTTGTTTATTATTTGTTTAACGTCCATACGACCATGTCCATTTGTCTTAGATCAAACATATAATATCATTGAAGACAATTGACAACTGTACTTACTGGAGATTTGGTAGCTTCGTTGAGCGCTCCGATCCAGCGGTCCGCGTTTTCTGCACTGTTCGCTGCTATGTGTAACCTTGTTTTTTTGTGGTCTTTTCTTTCCAGTCGGAAGCTGTACATTCTTCCCGTGTCCGATGTCTGCATTACGGTGAAACCTTTGAGATTCAGTGCTCCCAGAGGATGTCTGTCCTAAAGGCATAGTTATGTATTAATAACTACTGAAACACACAGAACTACGGGCGACTGCGAAAACGTACTCGTTTCAAAGACGCAGACTTATAATAGTAGAGACAATTATCGGTCTTGAGACAAAAATATCTGGGCTGCCAACAATTTTTCATTTTTTTCGTTCCGATGCTAAATTTCCACAGTTTACTGGCTATAACAATGCGGTCTTCAATTGTGGACGGATCGATCACTGGTGTTAGGATATCACAGGTCCTGGCGACTTCCAATTCCAAGACGTCAGAACCACTATGTGCAACATTGACAAATTCCGAGTGTGACGCATCGAGAACGCACATATCATTGATGCTGATAATTATGTCACCCACTTGGAGACCAGAGTTTTCTGCAGCTGTTCCCGTTTCAATTGCGGACACTACGACCGGCTTAGCCCCATGAATACGAAAACCGAACTCTCCAGATTCGCGTTTTACCATTAAGCGTTCGTCGCTATCTGTAAATATTTAGACACCACGTCGATATTCGTTTAATATACATACATTTTACCACATACCGAACGATTTTGAAGCGATTCTTTTGAACATTTCTAAACTCGATTTTCTGTGTACCATCCTGTGCGTGATTGTTTGGTATTTTACTCGGAACTCGTGCTCTGAACATGTAGATTCAATTGAATCTCTTCGTTTTAACTCAGGGGAACATTTAATGTCTAGATAAAAATAAAATAAATATTAAATATATTTTTCAAATATTAAAAAAATAATAAAATAATAATAAATATGAATGCATGGTACGTTTATTTGATACCTGGCAAATCCGAAGGCTTTTTCCATACATAGAACTCTTCTATTTCGTCAATGTATACCCACGAGAAAGATGTAAACGGTGTTGTATAGACGCCAGACCAATCATCGTCATCTGAATGAAGGCTAGAACTACTTCCATTTAATCTTTCCATACTTACATTGGTCGATCTAGTCATTGGCCTATAATAAGTACATATTATAAAAAAAACATTTTACTATATTTTATATTTTACCTACCTCCCTTTTTCTTTTGTATGTTTTACTCTTTCTTCAGACTTAGCTCGAGTCTGTTCTGATCTAGTGTTTCTTCTTCTATCTTCTGAACGATATCGTTTGGTCAATCGTTTTATAGGCGTGTTAGGGGGTTCTTCTGGAGAATCCCCAAAACCTTCAGGTGGCTTAACAATATTTATGATATCACTATTCGTATTACTAGTATAATCTACATCAACTTCGGTATTACATAGTGTACATCTAGATAATAATGATACCCTACTGCATGGTTCACTGTAGAAAACTGAATCACTTCCTGGGCTAATAGAACGCAGAGATTCTGCGCTCACTGTCTTCAAGTTCAAATTATTAATTTGAGATAAATAATTCATTTGGGACGACTTTGTTTGTAATGAACATTTAGGTTTGTCTTCTAGCTGAAATTCGGTTTTTGATTTTTCCATAGTATCTAGAGTTATTTGTGGTTTTCTAAGAATTTCGGGAAGCGACTCCCTTCGTTTTTCTGGTTTATTTATTACCGAAGGTTTCTTATCAATAGAGCTGAAAATTAATTTTAGTATTAATATATCATAAACATTTTATTATTTAACTTACTTAATTATTGTTACAGCTCCTATACTTTTTCGTCTAGGGCTTGGCCTTCTACGTCGTTCTGGCGCTTTTGAAGACTCGTCAGAAGAATAGACAGGTTGTGATATTTTAGTCGCAAAACCGTTGCCCATCAACTTCTAAAACAAATTTTATTTTTAGCAAACTTAACTCAAAGCATATTATAAATAATTAAAAAGTCATTACCTTAATTAAATTGGAATTAGTATCATCTGTATGGCATTTGGATGTTATACGATTACCTGTAAAATATTAAATTTTATAGTACTTAGTTCATTTTTAAAAGTAATCAATCTATTCGTCATTACTTGATATTAGATCTGGATTATTCAACTTATTTGATTCTTCTAAAGATTTTGGTTTGCTATTTGGTATGGACCTAAAATTATAAATTAATTATACGAAAATAAGTTTGTTTCACAAATGGATATTATATAAAATGCATCAGATAGTTAGTATAAGTAAATAAAAGCAATAGAGTAGTGCACAGTAAGCGATAATTGATTTTGTAATTGTCTAAGCTTTACACATGCATTTCCATGAGATTTGATATTATTTGTATATGTACAATATATATATATAATATTTATATACTCTGAATGTATGTTATATTCTTCAACCTCCAATCGCGACCTAAGGTAAGAATTCTATGCTTAACGACCTGCAACGAGCGGACCCTAATAAGCTCTATTTTCTTGTCTAGAATTTTGCTTTATTACAACCTATCGTTGATGTGCTCACTTAGCCAATTTTAAGATGGATTTCGGTCTTATTCTTGTATTCTCGTCTGATGAACCAGAACTCCTATTATCATCTATACTGCACTTCACGCTGTAACTAAAATAGTGATCGTGTTTATTCACTATCGAAATGTAATGTGTTGGTTTTTTTTTGATTGCTTTAAAGTAAATCAAACTATAAATGTGGGAGTATATTATGTGAAGTATAGAAAATGTGTGCTTGTCATGCATATAATAGATTGAGTAACAATATGATAAATGTATAGAAAATGTTAAGTAACCAAGAAATCATACGTGTAAGAGTAAGAGAATAAAATATTATCAATAATACTTTTTTTGAAGTACCTAACGGAAACAAAATATGTATACCTTCCGGATGTACTGCTTTCGTCATCACTTGAGTCTTCGCCGTCCCCGAGTTCTTCATCAATTGGGTCAGTTGGATCTAGGGTAGTCTGTAAAGAACAGGCATACCTGACTTAGTTATGTATTTATTTTTACTTTTTCGATACACTTACGTCGTGATCAAACATAGGATGAGGCAAACTGTATTTAGAAGATTCACTGTCAAATGAACTACTTGTAACTGACGGACCTTGAGTTGGGGTAGTGGTGTAAGAAGCACTGTCTGTAGCTGTTACATAATCTTCAGTAGAAGTTGAAACTTCAGACGGTTCCACCGCCGTCGAGCAATTAGTTCCTAAAGTGTTTGGACCATTTCCTTGTTCAATCAGGTCTGAAGATTTCAATGGAAGATCGGTGTATCTTATTATCTTCTTTTGTACTACATCACACAAGTTATCTTCTTTTAGTTTTGTTTTCTTGGATAAACTTTCACACTGCAAGACCTAAGAAATTATATTAGTGTTTTATTAAGTGAATATACATTCAACCCAACTATTTTGAGTTCAATAGAAAATAATAAATAACTATTACTGTACATTTTCTATTTAAATATTAATAATGCCCAAACACTTATCAGGAAGGTAGGTTTGCTTTTATTAACTTTGAAGTATTTTAGTTTTAATCAAGTCACGTATTTATTAATTATTATGCAATGGAAAACTAAACGGGTACCTATTTTTTTTTAATTTGATGAAATTTACGAACAACATATTTGTTGGCTCCCCTAGTATAAATTATTAAATTATATGAGTAAAATTTGTATGTTTAATGAAATTATTTAGTGTTTAAATAAGGTATATCAAAAATAATCGAATTTAAGTGGTCTTTAAATACCAATTGAAGGGATGGGATTAACTCGGATTTTTTAATCATATTATACAATTAATCTGTTATAGTGTTACCTATTACTTATGACATAATATTGTACAAACAAAGATAGACGATAGTAATAACAATTAGGCATTTACAATAATAAAATTAAATATTGTTATAACGAGTTTCATTAAATTAAATATTGAACAGTGATATAGGAACTCTCGTGTGGTATAGTTAATGCTAATAATAATGATAATAATAATTTAAAAAACAAAATAATGTTAGGTTTACAGACGTTCTTCGCTCAGAATCGTTTCTCATCATATAAAATGATTCATTATTAAAATGATATAATTGAATACTAATTTAACACATCCATATAAATTACCAACTCATTGACAAGTACACTCGACACCTGCTAGGTATACAACAGAGTGGGTTTCCCTATTTTTATTAAAACTTATTTTGTGGTTAAATTCTACTTACAGTAGTTTGAGATAGATCACTTGGTTCTTGTTCGTTTGAAGACGACGGCGTTTTTGCTCTATATTTATTTGGTGACTCAGATAAACAAACACTACTTTTAGACTTGTAAATTCCTTCACAAAGAATGCTTTCGTTTTCGTGAAAATTCTCCAAAGAATCTTCAACAGTCTAGAAATACATTTCAGCGTTAATTTTTTCGGCTATCAATGTAAAAGAAAGAATAAAAACTATTTTTTCATAGATTAATTTAAAATTTATTTAATCATACTATATTATATAATTATATTGTATGGTTCTTACATATAATGTGTTTAATATGGTAATTTATGATAACGTGCGAGGAAAATAAAATTAAACTTATTCAAAACACAAATATTATATTTAAGTTTTAAATGTACCCAGCCTAATAACTAATAAGTAATAACTAGCTAAATAAATAGTTTATATCATTCATTTTTAATTAACCATAGTTAAAAGTGATTAGTAAATAGTAATAGATATTATAGTTTTTATTAAGATTTTGATTATTTAATAGCTAACAACGTTTATCGAAAACAATATTATAAATGTTATGACTTATGAATATCGGGTAAACTATTCTTATTATTAAATTATATGGTGTACAGTTATACTCACACAAGAAGCAGCCACCAAATTTTTGTAGCATTGTTCACCATCAGACACCGATGCCTCTACATCCTCTCGACTCCTGCATCTTGCTATCTCACCGATTAAAATTTCACCGTCTGACACTGTTTTATGTAAGATCGTTTTGTTTTGCTTCCGATAAGGAGGATCTTTGGGCTCAAAGTCAATTAGTATCTCATTACTGAGAGGTTCCGATGGCCTGTGGTGCAATACATTAATGGGTGTTTAATTACTGATTAGTACATTATAATATTGTAATATCTTATATTCATATAAACATTGAACATGTTCTGTGTATTTGCATGAAATTGGAATATTATGTAACATGCAACATGAATTAAATATTGTTTTATCAAATTATAATGCAGGTATAAACTTAAAAATTTATTTAATTCTTTCAAAACATCTATAATTTTATATTATGTTAAGTGGTATATAGCTTAGGAGTAGTATTGTTCATACAGAGCCACCTCTGCTGTCGTCGGCTAATCAGGAAAAAAAGTGGTTTGATTTGAAATAAATAATTTCATATCGGATATGGGCGAGGATGACGTAGGTACGAAGAAAAATCATGTCAAACATGAAGTGGTACAAAGATAATAAGGGCTAATGTTTAATAAGAATGATGAGTTGGACATCATGTTTAGTATAATAGTATCCATTTCATCAGTGGCGTAGACATGATTTCTGAAAGAGGGGAGATAAAAAAATGACAAATATCTAAATGGGAGGGGAAAATTGGAAAATCCCCCACTCTCTCAACATTTTTTCCCAATAAAAAGCCAATGGGGGATCACTTCTTCCCCCTTGTATACGCCACTGCATTTCATCATTATAAATTGTATGTAACTATATGTTATGTAATCTAACCTAACCCAACCCACAAATATATCAACTCTTGTGTTCTCGTCATACATTAATTTGTAATAATATGCTGTGTTATCGTTAACATTATATTTATATTATGCAATAACTAGTTACAGTGGCGTGTACCATAGGATCCTAGTGTTGCTCAGGCAACACCTTAAATCTGGGTAGATGTGGGTGTTGGTAGATGGAAAATTGGGCATTTTGAAGGTTGGTACAAAATCATTAATTGAGCAACACCAATTTTTTTATGTTATACACGCACTGACTATAGGTTCCTATTTAGGTACCTATCTAATATAGAATTTATATAAAAGCGATGCCGATCAAAAAGTCCAATAAATAAAAAACATTGACGACGGATAAAAATATTAGCTATATTAGCTTTACTTTACCTGATAATCGATTTCGGTATCTCATTTTGTTGTGTATTTTTTTTCATTACTGATTTAACTTTATGCGGCGTTGCTGGACTTGTATCTCTTGCTCCATCTGTTTGTGTAGCTTGAACCTTTTGTGCTCTTTTTATCTTTTCTGTAACACACAAACGTACTAGATGATTACTCACTCGACATCAAAATTAATAATAATAACAGTGAAGATTTTAGTTTTTGGGTTTTAAATATGATCATGCTAATGCGTGTAAATACCTAATACAATAATTTTTGGAGATTCAACCGAGGAAACAGGTTCTGGAGCTTTTCTACCATCAATTAGTCTTTCTAACGATTTGCTACTGTTGGCTGATTTTAAAGAAACATTGTCGAATGAGGTCACAGTGTGTGATCTGGCAAAACTGACATGTCTCATTCTGAAAAAAACACATAGTAAAATATCATAGTAAAATTTGAATTTGTTTATATTTATAAAATATGCACATAGTAAAATATAAGTCTCTGTAATAGTTTGAATTTTTATGTAAATGTTAATATCAAATATTTTCATTGATTTAGGTATTATTAAAATTTGTTTCAATATTATCTTACTTATCAAAATTATAGACCTTAACACTTTGACTGCCATTCGGCTGCCGGCGGTCACACGATATGCATCATCTGAACGCCAAGTATATTTTTTAGTGTTATTCCAAATTTGTATATTATACTATTTATTTGAAAAAAGTTAAAAAAATTAATAAAAAAATTAAAAATATATATTTTTTACATCGAAAAACTTGTAATGATTCGCGCTATTTTGGTGCATTATTGTAGGGCCATCAAAAAGTTAATAATATAAACCATATTCATTTAAGGCCCCGGGCGATCATGTGGGGTGGTAGTAATGATCAACTGTGGCCGCCGCCGGTCGCAAAAGCATAACATTTGAAATTTACAAATGACAGTCAACGTGTTAAGCATTTTACTACCTTATTATATAATATACAAATATAAAATGGTTTTTAATACGACTGGTGAATATTTTATAATTCATAATTAAATATTTATATGTAAATAATTAATAACAATTAAAATAAAATTGTGTTTAGGCTTCAAAAAACCTCTGTAATGCATGCACATTTATTTTATGTTAATAATTGTTTGTTTTTAATTTTAACATTTTTAAATATTGTATTACTTAACAAAAAAAATTACCAGAGTGTGAAATGAGATTAAATTTTACATTGCAGTTGGTTGGTTGTTAGCATTTATAATATTTTTGTGTTAATATTAGTGTGTGCACTGAATGAATGAAGCATACAATATAACTTATGTATTTATAATATTATAATAATATGTAAAATAAGAAATAACATATTAAGTAATTCATATAACTATGGAAAATGCTGAACATAGATATATATATCATAGTTTTAAATTTATATGTACAATGTACACTGTAAAACCAATAATAGCAACCAAAATAAATACGGATCTGAAAAATCGGGATACAAATTTTTTTTTTGGTAATTGGATTTTTCCAGCATCGGCCGGCGCGGTGTATAGGCAATTTCGGTACATCACCATAAATTTGTCTTTCAAATGGTATCCAATTTTGTTTTATTTTTTAAATATATTATTTCGTAGAGACAACGACGTGCTGACGCCAGTGCAGACAAATGCGGTTACTATTTAAACGCAAACGATGGCAATTCACGGAATTTAAATAGCTTGATAGTGTATACCTACATAGATAGTGACTGTTTTAGTGATAGAGGAAATTGTAAATCAAATAGGCAAACACAGAGACGTGCTCAGAATTTTTACTTCATCTTTTTGCTCCTCTTTCCATATGGTTAAAAATGTAATTTTCTGAAAATATCAGAAAATGGCGATTTCCTGTGTGTCGCTAAATTATCGGTTGATCAGTGTATAACAATATTATAAAAATTATAAATGAAAAAAGCCCCCTTGTCAAGTTTACCTGGCAAACATATCTGATCCATGTGTATAAATAATTACACAGGGTGATTTTTTAACCCATGTTATGCTTAAACTATAAAGTTGTAGTTAAAATTTTTATACATTTTTACAAATTTCGATGAATTTTAATAAATATATAGTTTAATTAATAGAATGTTAATCTAATTTATTTATTTCTTAGGCTTTGTCCAGTAATTTATACATCAAAGTAAAAACTTTATTCTTTGAATTAGACAATTAATATAATGTAACCTCATCAAACAAGTAAATAACATAACCGTCACTATACTTAACGTTATACTAATTGGGTAGTGGAATTTTGAGGTTAGTATTTTGTCTTTTTTCCTGAAAGGTATTACCAAAATTATAGGTTAATGTTTTGTTGGTACTCTTTTGATTCACGGTTAGATAACATGTTGGGTAGTTTGTAAGATTTTACTTACCGATGAACATGTTTAGAATTGTAAACCGTGGTATAAAATATGTATAATTACCTGGAAGTCGATTGCTGCTGTGGTGGTGGAGGTGGAGGAGGAGGTAAATAGTGTGGCGTACATGGATGGAATTCGGGACAATCGAATCCCGTTGCCCGTCTGTGGCAAGTTGGATGACACGTCCTATGTGGACAACCCTATAACAAATACCAAATTGTTAAATATTCTATGCTACCTATATCATATTATTCTAGATAAGGTTTTTATTTAAAACTGACATTCACATTATTTATACAACACTATTTCGTATAATATGAAGTTATCATAAAAAACGGTAAACTGTTTCCTTGCTATATGTCATATTAATTCTTAACCTAATTACTATTATTTTTTATTTATTGTTTAAAAATAAACATCGGCAACACAGACCACTAGTTAACACAACGTAATTATTACTAGGTATCTTTGATGTTTTAGTTGTTTTTTACATCATAATCTCCCATTTGTAGTGTATCGCTATATTTGGACGGAGAAGAATCAATGAGATGGGAAATAAAGTACCTAAACAGTAGCTATTTTTATTAACTACAAATATCCAAGAAACGATTAGTTAGCTCACGTAAATGTATGATATTCATTGTTATCGTTATAATCATGACTTTCTGCATCTAACCACCTAACCCGCAGTAAGCATAATATATTGTAATAGGTATTCCGCATAATTTTAGGCTATAACCGACGGTCACCCCCCACCAATATGATTATGATAAAAATATTATCATGTGCAGATTACTTCGTCTTCGGGGGGCCAACATTTGTGGCGTCTGGCGGCCGGCGAACGTTGGCACGGTGGTGGTGGCGGTGCTTCGGCCAAGTCCGATTGGTGGCAGTGATGCACGGGGAATACATCAGGATGGCAGTGATGGTATCTCGACCACCGTGAATATGGAGCGCAGTCTGCGGGCAGTCGCTTGTACAGGTCTTGGAGGTTCTCATCACTCGGTATTCGTCGCCGAACGCAGGCGGTCAACAGATTCGGTGAGCTCCTAGCACCACAAGAAGACGACTCCTGGAAAATGTAAAAAAAAGTATACAATTTATTACAGTCAATATGTCTTTCTCATAATCATGTTTTTTTTTTTATATCTACAGTAAATATATAAATCACTAAACATTAAGAAATAATAAATTCTACCGAAATTTAATCTTTTTAATTTTTGAAAATCATATTAAAATACGAATTCATACAAAAAATAAATACATATATTTAGGAGTTACAATTATAATCAATATCCTTACTCTGTGACTGGATATGCACCCAAATAACGCTGGAGGCTGTCTAACCCTGTTTAATACTTGTAATTGCTTATCGCTTAGGCAGTACTGTTCCACAATATCTTGTTTGGAATAGAATTGCTGGCTCCGACTTTTTGGCCCTAGTTTTTTATTCTCGTCTGACTCCATTAAATCGGCAGAGTTCATGTTAGCCTAAATTATAAATATCATATACATTTTTACCATTGCCGATATAATGCCGTATTACATCATTAATTATTCATTCATAATAATATATATACATGTGTCAATACAAATTTAAAACTTAGGAAAATAAAATCTATTATTATACAATTTTAATTATTTAACACCCTTAGCATTATAATACAAGGTGTAATATTTTTCTTAATAATTATAAATTTTATTGATTTTACCTTGTAAGGTGTTACCACTGGATAACCTAACTTGTCTTAAGACTCACTATTAAGTATATTTTTATGTATTTTATCAAACCTACTTATTATGCAAAACTGTATAGATTGTAGATTTCCTTAAAATAAATTTAAAAAAAGGTTTATTAATATTCATAGTGTTCTGCAATAAATACAAATAAAGAAAGTGTATTTTTATAAAAACAATAAAAAATAAAACGTACTTAGAATAGAATCATACTAAATATTAAAATACTATTTTATTATATTTAATATACTAATACATTTAGTACAAGTTGGTAGTCCGTTTACTTAGTTAAATGTTAAAAAAAACACACCAATATCATTTTATTTAATCAAATAATTCATCAATTATATAATAGTCAGGGAAAAATAGTGGATGACAGCAAGGGCGTCCGCAAAAATTTGTCAAGAAAGGGACAAAATATTTTCATTTTTCTATTTTTTATTTCACTATCCAAATAGTGATAACTGATAAAGTATTGTTTGTGATATGTTGTATTTCATATAGGTAGGAAATGAAATAAATATTTATGAATTATATGTAGATGGTTAGTCAATACTTATAATCTTACAGCGTTAATTTTAACTAACTGATATGTTATTTTAAATTGACAATTAATGTATTTGATAAAATGTTACCATCGATTTGACCATTTTAGGTTATTTATAAAACTAAATGTTTCTAGCTTCTATATAAAATAAATATCTAATCAATATGAATCAATAAAGTCAATAAGAATATCAATCTATGAACATTAAATTAAAAAGTAAAAACTTGGTTGGCTCTGCACTGGTCCCACCACTGCATGCCATATTGCCATAAGACTATAAAAGTAACGTTTTTAGTTCTGACGTCCATAATCGAGGGGAATAAAAATCACTTGGTAAAAAAATTTTTTTTTTTAAATATTTATTTTGTCATATTTTGTAATTTAAATATTTCGTTGGATACTTAAAAATACTATAATTAGGTAGTCATTAAAATACTAGTTGTTAACCTAAATAAATCGTATAAAATATATATTCAAAAGATTTCTGTTTTTTTATTTGTTTCATAATTATTTTATTCTTTAATTAAAACGTTTGTTCTAAAAAACTATATTTTTTAGGTCATATAGTAAGCACATATAGTACATGCAACTATAAAATAAACATTTAAAAGATTTATATTGAATACACAAAGGTGAATTCAACTGTATTAAATCATGAATTGTTTTTATATAAAATGTTCCAGTGTTTTATAAAAATCTAAATACTGAATTTTATATCTGAACCAGAAAAATTACCCTAATGTTTGATCAACGAAGAAAGTTTCTAATTTACATAAAATACATTTCATAAGGTATACCTACTTTTTGTTGTTCATAACATACCAGGTAATGAAATTATTTACATTAAAAACATTTCAAAGTTTTGATGATGTTATTACAAGCGTATGTGTTTATTATATTAAACAAAAGGGCTTTCTAAAGAGTTCCTGAGTATATTATTGAACACGGGGTTTCGTGTTTTATAAAATTAAAATAATATGTCAGGTAACTAAGTCGGAATAATCGTTCCTGTCGACCGATCAAATGATTTGTTATTCTTTTATTAATATCGCTACTATATGTATATTACAAGATATAATACGACGTAGTACCTAAGCTATTGTCGTATGTTCAATAATGATAGCAGGTAGGTTTATATAATTAAAAAATGCAGCAGATACTTATTTCTACCAACATAATATTGGCCAACATCCGTTTCCAACAAAACTATTATCTGCCAAAAATTAAAAATATTCAATTCCCGTTTACGCAAAAAAAAGTTTGAAAACCAAAATAAATACTATAATTTTTAGGTAATGCATTGCGTGCCAAATAATATAACATGTATACAACAGTGCTTTCAAATTAGTGAATATAACCGTTAAGACCGTTGGTACAGTAATATAATAGTAGTATCGTATAGCGATAACCGTTAATAATGGCAATGTAACTTGTAAGTAAGTAGTTTCTTTTATACGGTTTTTCTAAAATTATAAATATTTTTATGTAGGTAGCCAGGCTCTATTTGATTTGCATATATTTTTATCATCACATTTTAAAATATTCATTATTATATAATCAATTTGTAATATTTTAGATTCTGAATGGAACGATGAATCAATTGATTTTACAATGGGTTTTTTTTAGCATCTTTTTGGTTAGTAAAGTTCAAAATTTCTAGTAATTTTCAAAAGGGTCAAAACAAAATAAAAAATAAAAAAATAAGGAAAAACTGGAATTCTTAAGCTTGGACTATTACATATTCTTATTCTAATTTAAAATTTTAATATAAGTAATTTGCTGCTTTTTCATATTTTAAAATTTTTAGTTTATTATAAATCAATTGACATGTTTGCATAAAAAAAGTGAATAAATCTACTTTATCGTCATGTTTCTTTTGGAAATACGTTTTCTTTTTTATTGCGCTCATTCAGGATTTGAAAAAAAGGTACTTTATTGGGTAAAAACTAAAAACAAAAAGGGGCGATTGTAGGTAATATAATTTCGCATCCAAGAAATATAACAATATGAAAAGGTTTTCTTTAGGTTTCGGCGTATTCTTTAATAGGAAACTAGAACTTAATCATTTATTTTATTCTTTTGAACAATGATATTATTAATCACGTTAGTAAATTATTATTTGAAATTATGTTAGGTTAGGTTCGTACTTAGTACTATTATACCTACTGACAAACGTCTTAGCTTAAATTGTAATCCTAAATAGTAAATGTCTTATCAAGTCTTTTGATTGTTATTAATGGATATTTTTCATAATACCCAGTGCAATTATTTGAATATAAAATGTGTGAAGATTATATTATATAAAGACAGATTTTAACGAATTAACTATTAATTCTGATATTCATCTAAAATCAGTAAATAAACGAAAATTAAAATTTATTATTATTATTTTGTAAATATGTTTTTTTCAAATCCAATAGGTAGTTATTTTTTCAATAGGAATATTTTGTAATGATTTATTTTTAATTATGCAAAAGTACAAATTAGACCTAATTTTTTATCAGAAACCACCATAAAAGTTAAAGATCGAAGAATTTTTCTACTATATACCGATATTGTGAAGACGGACACACAAAAACACGATACCAGACTGTTATAGAATATTTCTTCAGTAGGATTGCACATAGTATATCAATGCAACAGATTCAAACGGCACTGTACTCTAGGGTTATCTCAACACAGCAACACGACCTGATGATTGGACTTATTATCCATTTCAATATCACAGTCGTTAATCATAATAACTATGCACATAAATACCATGTCACACAACCTTTATAATATTAAGGTAGAAATAAACATAGTATATAGTCGAATACGTATCGTATTTAATGAGTATCGGCCATTGAATCTACATTTTTTTAATGTACACGAACAATCACACGAGATCATGGCTCGGGCAGTAGCGAGCTAACGTCATAAAAATACGGAAGTACATATTGTACAAGTCATTGTACATTAACTCGTATAAATACATTATACAATAAAATGTAATCGAAGAACAAACGTCTTGTCTTTTAACAAAAACAATAAGGGGATAGTAAATAGGAGTTGCAGTGACCGATAAATAAACGAAAGGTTAGAAAACCACCCCACTGTGCCACTACAATCTTACTACACACAACGACCGGTTCGGTGTAATTACTTGTAAAAGCGCATTACTACCATCGTGTTCTTATCTTTCTCTCACCAGTCACCACACAGTCTTAATTTCATATAGGTACGCTTTCACATACTACCCGCTTGGGAAACACGGAATATTGGTTCTCGGGTCAAAATAAAGTGTACGAATCGGTTTCCGAAAAAATTATTTATCATCAACTGTTCGAATTGGTTCCCATACGACTGCCATAGTCCGCCAAAAATGTGGGCAGAATTTTAATCTACTTCAAAATGAGCAAACAATTGCCTTGTTTCGTTTGATGGACAACTCAGTTCGGAATTGTATTCCTCCCACTCGAATGTTTTTTTATCAATTGAAAAATATATCTATTGTGAATTTGTGAAATATATCTAAAACAAAGAACCACACAATTTAGTCAAGAAAAACAGCTGAACTGGAAAAGTTTGTCGGTGAAATTATAAACAAATGAAAACATTGAACGACTGCCAAATGTGAGCTTATAATTTATAAATAGGTAATTTATGTTGCAAATACCTACCACATTAATTTTTTTTTATTATTATTTATTTTAAGGAATTTAGACATTTTCTGTATTAGGTTGAAATATTTTATACCTACCTATATAATATTATTTTAAGTGTTATATAGAATTACTGGTGTTGGTTACAACAATTATAGTTGTAAAAGTTAATTATTTTAACGTACATTTCTTATTATAATGAACGTTTGTTGAAACCAGTTCGTACTTTACCTAAACTCCTATAGACTACTAGGATACCAATTTGAATATAACCTATGGACTATCTGAGAACAAATTTGTTGAGTGGGAACCAATTCGGAGCCCGAAAGCGTCCTTTGGCATTACCTGTTTCGGCTCTTTCCTAATCTTCTCTTAAATTTAATTTAATTTAAACATAATTAAACATTATATATAATGTACTATTATTTTCAATTCTTATTGGATTTCATCCTTATACTTAGTCATTACTCATTATCTACATAAAATCCTACTTCTAAAAAATCTTTTAAATAAACCAGTGTTTTGATTTTTAGCAAAAATTACAAGTAGGTACAGAA